ACAGTGGCACGATCTCAGCTCACTGCAACCTCCCCCTCTTGGGTTCAAGTGATTCTCCTGCCTCAGCCTCCTGAGTAGCTGGGATTACAGGCATGCGCCACCATGCCCAGCTACTACTTTGCTTTTTTACAAATATTTTATTATGGTATTTCTGATTTTGTATAGCACTTCACAATTTAAAAAGCTTTGTGATGTACAACAGCTCATTTGATCTTCACAATAATGTGAAGAAATCAAGTCCTATCATAACTGTCATTTTTATCAGATAAGAAATCAGAGATGCCAAGAGATCTTCAAATTCACAAGATCTATTTGTGTTTGGCAGAGCTAGGTCTCAAAAACAGGTATTCTTACCTTTAGGACATGATCCTTCTGCTTCTGCTTCCTCATCCTATACATTATTTCATCAGGCTATTTATAATTACATTTAAATGTAGTTTTACTTCTTTGAACTACAATTTGTATTGTAGAAATGCTTTTCACTAAACCCTTGGATAGAAAATTAGTATAGATTATTACTTTGATGATCCAATAGTACTAAACTTTTCAGCATATAAAATCCAAACCAGTGCTGGGTGTGGTGATTCATGCCTATAGTCCTAGCTATTAGGGAGGTTGAGACAGGGGGATTGCTGGAACCCAAGAATTAAAGGCTACGATGAGCCATGATTGTGCCACTGTACTCTAGCCTGGGCAACAGAGCAAGACTGTCTCTGAAAGGAAAAAAAAAAAAAAGAATCAAAATCCTAGCAACTACTAATGCAGATAGTAAGTAGACTCTATAGATCCAAATAATTGCACTAGAATCAAAGAGCTCTCTGTGAGTCTATTTCAAAGACTGAGGCCAGGTACAGCGGCTCACACCTATAATCCCAGCACTTTGGGAGGCTGAGGCAGGCAGATCACCTGAGGTCAGGAGTTCGAGACCAGCCTGGCCAACATGGCAAAACCCTGCCTCTACTAAAAATACAAAAACTAGGCTAGGTGTGTGGCATGTGCCTGTAGTCCCAGCTACTTAGGAGGCTGAGGCAGGAGAACAGTTTGAACCCCAGAAGGTGAAGGTCGCAATGAGCCAAGATTTTGCCACTGCACTCCAGCCTGGGTAACAGACTGAGACTCTGTCTCAAAAACAAAAACAAAACAAAAAACAAAGACTTCATTACAGTGAGCACTTACCCAATTGTCTATGCCAATGACTTAACAGCAGATATCAAAATACTGGAGAGTTAAGGAGGCTATTATATTATTAAATGAATGTAACAGTTATCTCACTCTTGAATCAAATAAAGTTTTGTGGAATATTTGTCTCAGAGTAGTAACATAGTGCAGTTTGACAATTTCTTGAATTCAAGCTAAATGAATATAAATCATCAAAGAGTTTTCTAATAGAAGGATTAGATGGAAAAGAAAAGCTAAAAATGAAGTAAAAATAAAAGACTATGATGCATTACCTCCAAGAGTCTTCACTAATTTCATTTATATCTAAGTTACATGAGACTAAGTCTCATAATGCACTTAGCTGAAGCCATGTTGATTAGTAAACTACAAATCAGCCAATAAAAAAACTTTTTTTTTCTTTTTTGAAATAGGTTCTCACTCTGTCACCCTGGCTGGAGTGCAGTTGCGCAATATCAGCTCACTACAACCTCTACCTTCTGGGCTCAAGTGATCCTCCCACATCAGCCTCCCAAGTATCTAGAACTACAGGCATGCACCACCACACCCGGCTATTTTTTAATTATTATTTATTTTTTGTAGAGACAAGGTTTCACCATGTTGCCCAGACTGGTCTCAAAGTCCTAAGCTTAAATAATCAGCCTGCCTTAGCCTCCTAATGTATATTAGACATGAACCACCATGCCCAGCCATAAACAAATTTTTTAAAAACCTTTTCTTTCCCATGCCTTTGACATAAGACTAGACTCCAACTACCAAAAAAGTTTTTGTCCACAACATTGTAAGATAAAAATATAAAATATAGTATCTCAAACAGAAATACATTGGCATCTTTTTACAGAATAGGGCCTGATCCAAAATGATTAATAAATGCAACAGGCTCTTCATGTACTTCTAGAATTTAGCGCTGGGTTTTGTTCTGGCTGTTGGAAAGTCTTTTGATCTAAAACAGCTTATTAGCAGTTCACATGGAGGATATAGCGTGTTTCACTCAGAAATGAAACTGAATTGTTAATCCTGCCTTTGATATTTCTTGTACATTGTTCTTCTATTTTTCTGTTCTCAGTAGTAATTTATTGGAAGCCATAAAGGATTGTTAAGCACCTAATCATGCTATATTATATATATTTATCTTAAAAAATTGTCCTTTTTTTCAAATTTTGTTTAATTTTTTTAAGCTGCTTCTACTTTATAGAAGCCTCTTTTCCTGCTGTAGAGCCCTAAACTGAATATAGACCCGGTCCTTAGTTAATTCTGCTTAGCCAGTGAGCTGTGTGATTTTGGGAGAGTCTCTTCACTTTCTGGGCCTTAATTTTCTTATTGATAATAAGGGAAATTTGGCTTTGATGGCCTCTCAGGGCATTCATTCTTAAATATTCATTGACATAAAGCAGGTGTTCTCGAATGAATAAATATTAACCTGTTTTTTACCTGCATGTCTGGCTAGAATTATGAGGATCTCTCTGACTTCAATAGAATGAGAGGGCTGGGCGCAGTGGCTCACACCTGTAATCCTAGCACCTTGGGAGGCCAAGGTGGGCAGATCACATGTGAGCCTAGGAGTTCAAGATGAGTTTGGGCAATATGGCAAACCCCCATCTCTACAAAAAAAAAAAATTAAAATTAGCCAGTCACTGTGGCACATGCCTATAGTCCCAGCTACTCTGGAGGCTGAGGTGGGAGGATCACCTGAGCCCAGGGAGGTCGAGGCCTTGAGGCCACTGCGCTCCAGCCTGGGCAACAGAGTGAGAAAAACTCTGTATCAAAACAAAACAAAAAAACCATCAAAATAAACAAAATGGAATGAGAGAACTGTCTGGGAAAGGGGTTATGTTAAACACTTTCCTGCTGGAAATATTCAACACTCGGTGTGTCATAACGCTTGAGTTTGAGAATTATTAACAGGATTACACAAAGCCCCATGAAGAGTGGTAATGAGGCTTTGACAATTACGTTGCCTTGAAATCTTTGACTTTTACTTTTAAGGACATCCCTAATACTAAAGAGGGAATTAAGAGATATGCTGTGTACCCAGCTTCTTATACAGCAGTGTGGCAGAGAAGCACAACAGACAACTGACCAACTGGGAGAGGCATATACTGATAGCAATCTTTGGGTAACTTAAGATTGATTTAAGCTTTCATAAATTATAGCAGAGGTTTGGCTGTCAAATTTGCCTGTACTTTGGAAATTTCTACTTTCTCAGATCACATATTATAACAGTGCATAGTGAAAAAAATGTACAGATGAATAAACATAACAATGGTTACTACTGGCGAGTGGGATTATGAGGTATTAGAGGAAAGACTTCCATTTTTACTTTACATTCTCCAATTATTCATATTACTTTTATTTTTAAAAAATTTTAATGTGTTATATTAAAAGTCAAAAACTGAAAGTAAGCTTATTATCCAGACATTTCAGATAATGGGTATGATTGTCAGACTGAGCAAAAATAATTATTCTCTACTTTCTGAAGTAGATTTTATGAACATGGCATAAATTTATAGGCATTTAGAAGAAAATTATTTTCATTTGCTTCTATCCTTTCACAAATGTTTGATTACTGTATTGTGTGCACAGATTTTGGAGTTCCTAGTTTTTTCAAAGAGTAGACTAGATTCTTGATACATAGCACATAACCAATACGTGTTTGTTGAATGAATGAATTAAATAAATCTTCCTTTTCTATTTTGAAGCCACAGTAACTTTTAGGAGAGAAGGATACCAGTTTGGTCACTGAAACAGGTTTTTTTCTGCTGTTACCTGAAAGGAGGTAACCTAAAAGATTTTACAATATCTATAAAATTCCCTATTTATTTTCTGGAATTAGTTTATATCATAAAAAATCAATCATAAGTTTGCATATGATATTTCAGTTTCGAAAGAAATTATTAAATAAAGCATTTTATGTTAACAAAGATCTTTCATATTATTTAATTAGCTGTTCCTTACAACTACTTGTCTGGTGCCATTATTTGAGTTCAAAGGGAATGATTAAATGAATGAATGGGTGGATGATTAAATTCTTTGCTTAAGATTCCAAAGGCAAGGAATGGCAAGGACAGGTTTAGTATTTATTAACGCTGTCTCCCTGACACTGCTTCTTGGCCTCCTGTACCCTGTTGTCTCCCCAAAACAAAGAGGTAGCAGTGCAATACTTTTTTTCCCATGGCAGGAAATAAGTGAATCATTTGTTCTAGTAAATGCTTGGCAGGAAGACATGAAAGACTAAGCCAGATAAGAAATGTCTGCTTACTATAGGTATGGTTGTGTATCTCAGTTTGTAACCTCTTTATAGTAAAGTTTATGATTACCATGAACAAGGCTTTGCAGTCTTTAAATGTACAAACTTACATTTCTTCTCCAGTGCCAAAAAAT